TGCTGTTGAGTGGACTCTGACTCCTGACAACCCTGTGTACATCCAAGTCAAACTGGTCTCATGGTATTTGGGGGGGCTGATTTTCTTGGGGTGGGAGGTGCTGATTTAATGATCAATAGCTTATCCCCAAGTTCTAATATCCGTTGTAATGGCCACACACAACTTCTAGACAAGATTCGTGATTAAAGGGTTTATTAAGCAAGTTAACAAGTTGTAATGCCAGTAGGAAATACTCAGGGGTGAGCTGTTATGAGGACATGCTACAAAGTTCTGTCAAGTCTGCTAATAAATGCCCAATGTGCACACTGCTGTGCTATAAGCCTCAACCTGAAAGCCTTCCACTCAAGCTCAGTGGGCAGTAAAACCAGCTCCCTAAATTAAGTGCCCGCAGGTACCCCACTCCAGTAAGCCTCAGCTCAAAGGCATTCATCTCCAGGGATCAGCAGTCCTACCTTCCCCCACTTAATTGTCCAGAGACACTCCATTCTGCAAGCCAGGGTCCTGCATAAGAGCACTCAGCTGTACTTGCCCCATGGGTTGATAAGTCCATCACTCTGTTCCATGCCCTGGCTCCTGCTCCTGCTGCTGTCCTCGGGTGGCATTGCGGTCATCTGGAGCCAAGAAGCTCACAGCACAGGCATCTCAGGTCCAGAAGATGCTCCCACTCTTGCTGGTAATGAGATCCCTCCCCCGGGTTCTCAGAGGGCTCATTTTATACCCAGTAGAATGGCGCTTCAGGGAAGCCTGTTAGCAATTACAGCTGAATCCTATCAGTATTTCTACCACCACCCCGTCTTCTTAGTAGACCCATGCAGGGAAAGGTCATCTGGTGGGAACTGAGACTTTGGCTGGAAGAGCCATATTAAGTAATTCACTGCCCTCACAGGGACGGGAATCAATCATCAGGCCTTTCTTCCTAGCTGCCTCTAGGTGCACTTGAACTTCTAACCATCTCATGAGCAGCCAGGAGTGCTCACCATGTGCACCACTGAGCGGCTCCTGCAGAGTTTAAAAGACACGTTACAGTCCTCTAAATGTGAATAAATAGAAAAATTGGCCTTTAAACACACACACACCTCAGATACAAATGTTGGTCACTACTCATCTGGTGGAAAAGACCCAGGAAGGAAGCCAAAGACGCAAAGAAGAAACCGTCTACAGGACTAACAATCTGCATGCTCACGGCATCATCTACTCTGAAACCAGAAGAAATAGATAGTGCCCAACTGCCCCTATCCCACCGTTCTAATCAGGGCCTCAGAAGGAGCATCCTGAGAGAATGGGAGAAACGTGTGGAACCGAACCTCATTCCCAACAAAACAACAACAACAACAACAAAACAGCCACCTGCTGTGGCTGAAAGATTTCCTGAGAGCTACCATTTGGAGAGGGTCCAAAGCTCCCCCCTTCCCGTTTTTTAACAAATGCACAATTTTATTTATTTACTTTTCTATAAGTTTAAATCCTTGAGAGGTACAACATCACACAGATTCTGTGTCCAATAGCCTTAGCAGTCAGGTTGCTCCGGAATCTGGCCCGAACCCTGCCACCGTTTCCATGGGCACGAGTTACCTTTCCCCAGATGACTCCGGTTTTGTTAGGCTTGCCGCCAGGGGTCACTATGTTGCTCTTCGCTTTGTGCACATGAACACATCTCTTGCATAAATAAAATTCCATTTCATCTAGGGTGTAAACACCTTCAATTTTAAGAAGAGCCGTGTGCCCCTCTGGTTCCGGGGATCTCATTTATAGCCAGCAAAAATAGCCTTAGACCACAGCCTTTGGACATATTTGCCGTTTAGAAGTCCTGTTCCCAGCAGGCCTCCACAGGCTCCAATATGGCATAAAAAGAGGTTCTAAATCTTGAAACAAAGTGATCCCCTCCAGGCCACCTTCTGGCTAAATAACAGATTAATTCAGCAGACCATGTCACCCATGAGCACTGTGGTGCTTTAGAACACACACACATATACACACCTGTATGAAACCAGGCATCGGTAATGACTTTAAACAAAGTTGAGCAGGCCAGAGGGCAG